CCAGTTCATCCCAGTAACCCCAGAGCCGAAACCAGAACAAACCAGTATGGACCAGTAAGGGAAAACCCCAAACCAGTAAGGGAAAACCCCAAACCAGTACAGACCAGTAAGGGAAAACCCCAAACCAGTACAAACCAGTAAGGGAAAACCCCAAACCAGTATAAACCAGTAAGGGAAAACCCCAAACCAGTACAAACCAGTAAGGGAAAACCCCAAACCAGTATAAACCAGTAAGGGAAAACCCCAAACCAGTACAGACCAGTAAGGGGAAACCCCAAACCAGTATGGACCAGTAAGGGAAAACCCCAGACCAGTATGAACCAGTAAGGGGAAACCCCAAACCAGTATGGACCAGTAAGGGAAAACCCCAAACCAGTATGGACCAGTAAGGGAAAACCCCAGACCAGTATGAACCAGTAAGGGGAAACCCCAAACCAGTATGGACCAGTAAGGGAAAACCCCAAACCAGTATGGACCAGTAAGGGAAAACGCATTCCCAGTTCATCCCAGTGACCCCAGAGCCCAAACCAGTACAAACCAGTCCAAACCAGTAAGGGAAAACCCCAGACCAGTACAGACCAGTTCATCCCAGTGACCCCTCCACCCCTCCCAGTCCCTCCCAGTATAACCCAGTATAACCCAGTCTCACCGCCATTGGCTGGTAGCCGGCGATCGATGACATCAGCACGATGGCCCCGCCCCTGCGGTGAAAGAGGGCGGGGCTTAGCAGTGGCCACGCCCCCTCGGAGCAGCCAATGCAATGGGAGCTGCCAATCAACCTAAGCCACGCCCCCTCCGAGCAGCCAATGCAATGGGAGCTGTCAATCAACTCAAGCCACGCCCCCTTTGCCGGCAATGGAGCTCCCAGTCCCTCCCAGTTTGATCCCAGTATGAACCAGTATAAACCAGTCACCCCTGAACGCCTCCCAGTCCCTCCCAGTATAAACCAGTAAGCTCTAAACCCCTCCCAGTTTGATCCCAGTATAAACCAGTCACCCCTAAACGCCTCCCAGTCCCTCCCAGTATAAACCAGTAACCCCTGAACCCCTCCCAGTTTCATCCCAGTTTGATCCCAGTATAAACCAGTAACCCCTCCCGCGCCTCTCCATGTGCGGCACCACCAGCCGGACCAACATGGCCGCCGCCGTCACGTTCACCTGGAACACCTGGTGACGTCATGGGGGCGGGGCTTAACCCTGTGGGCGTGGCCAAACCCCGACATGGCAGAATGGGGGCGTGGCCAAGCGGGGTGACATCATGGGAAAGGGGGCGTGGCTAAAAGAGGGTGGTGGCACTGTGGGCGGGGCTGTGGGAAAGGGGCGGGGCCTCAGGGGGGAATTTGGGGGGAGAATGGAAAATTTGGGGAGTTTGTGGTCAAAATTTGTAAAAATTGGGGAAAATTTTGGGGAATTTCGGGGAATTTGGAGGAATTTGAGGAAAAATTTGGAAATTTGGGAAAATTTGAGGAAATTTGGAAACATTTTGAGAAAAATTGGGGAAATTTGGAGACATTTTGGGAAATTTTGGGAAAATTTTGAGAAATTTTGGGAAAATTTGGGAAAAATTTGGGGAAATTTAGGGGAATTTGGGAAAAATCAGGGAAATTTTGGAAAAATTGGGGAAATTTAGGGGAATTTTGGGAAGAAATTGGGGAAATTTCGGAAAATTTTGGGGAAATTTGCAGAAATTTGAAAAATTTTGGGAAATTTGGGGGAGCATGGGGTCAAATTGTGGTGGGAGTTTTGAGATTTTGGTGGAAAATTCACATTTTTGTGGGAAATTCCAGATTTTAGCAGGAAATTCGGAAATTTTAGTGGGAAATTCCAGGATTTTTATAGGAAATTCCAGGATTTTGGAGGGAATTTCAAGATTTTGGCCATAAATTCTGGGAATTTCGACAAAAATTTGGGGATTCTGGTGGGAAACCCCGAGATTTTGGCGGGAAATTTTGAGGTTTTGGCCAGAAATTCCAGGATTTTGGCGGGAATTTTGATATTTTGGGTGAGAAATTCTGGGATTTTGGTGGGAAATTCTGGGAATTTTGAAAGGAAATTCCAGGATTTTTGTGAGGAAATGTCAATTTTTTGGCGGGAAATTTTGACATTTTGGTGAGAAATTTTGGGATTTTGGCAGGAAATTTTGATGTTTTGGTGAGAAATTTTGGGATTTTGGGCAGGAAATTCTGGGATTTTGGCAGGAAATTTTGACGTTTTGGTGAGAAATTCCAGGAATTTGGGCGGGAACTTTTGGGATTTTTGTGGAAAATTCTGTGATTTTGGCCAGAAAATCCAGGATTTCGGTGGGAGGTTCTGGGATTTTGGCACAAAATTCCCGTATCTGGGCAGGAAATTCCGGGATTTTGGCGGGAAATCCCCAGATTTTGACGGGAAATTTTGAGGTTTTGGGGAGAAATTCCAGGATTTTGGGCAGGAAATTTTGACAGTTTGGTGAGAAATTTTGAGATTTTGGGCAGGAAACTTTGGTGATTTTGGCGGGAATTCCCGATATTTTGGCGGGAAATCCCAGGGTTTTTGGCGGGAATTTCCGGGGGTTTTGGCGGGAATTCCCAATGTTTTGGCGGGAAATGCTGATATTTTGCCGGGAAATCCCGGGGTTTTTGGTGGGAAATGCTGATATTTTGGCGGGAAATGCTGATATTTTGGTGGGAAATCCCAGGGTTTTTGGTGGGAATTCCCGGGGGTTTTGGCGGGAATTCCCGATCTTTTGGCGGAAAATTCCAGGATTTCGGCGGGAAATTTGGCTGTTTTGGCGGGAAATTTTGAGGTTTTGGCGGGAAATCCCGGGGTTTTTCGCGGGAAATCCCGGAGTTTTTGGCGGGAATTCCCGCTATTTTGGCGGGAAATGCTGATATTTTGGCGGGAAATCCCGGGGTTTTTGGCGGGAAATGCTGATATTTTGGCGGGAAATGCTGATATTTTGGTGGGAAATCCCAGGGTTTTTTGGAGGGAATTCCCGGGGTTTTTGGCGGGAAATGCTGATATTTTGGCGGGAGTTCCCGGGGTTTTTGGCGGGAATTCCCACTATTTTGGCGGGAAATGCTGATATTTTGGCGGGAAATCCCCGGGTTTTTGGCGGGAATTCCCGGTGGGCGTGGCCGGGGCGTGGCCCCACCTTCTCCCAGACGCTCTCGTCGGCCTCGAGGGCGGGGCCCAGGTGGGGATTGACGGCGGCGTTGGACACCAGGATGTTCCCGGGGTTTTTGGCGGGAAATGCTGATATTTTGGCGGGAATTCCCGGGGTTTTTGGCGGGAAATGCTGATATTTTGGCGGGGAATCCCGGGGTTTTTGGCGGGAAATGCTGATATTTTGGTGGGAAATCCCAGGGTTTTTTGGAGGGAATTCCCGGGGTTTTTGGCGGGAAATGCTGATATTTTGGTGGGAAATCCCAGGGTTTTTTGGAGGGAATTCCCGGGGTTTTTGGCGGGAAATGCTGATATTTTGGCGGGAAATCCCGGGGTTTTGGCGGGAATTCCCGGGGTTTTTGGCGGGAAATGCTGATATTTTGGAGGGAATTCCCGGTGGTTTGGCGGGAAATGCTGATATTTTGGTGGGAAATCCCAGGGTTTTTGGCGGGAATTCCCGATCTTTTGGCGGGAAATTCCAGGACTTCGGCGGGAAATTTGGCTGTTTTGGTGGGAAATTTTGAGGTTTTGGCGGGAAATCCCGGGGTTTTTCGCGGGAAATCCCGGAGTTTTTGGCGGGAATTCCCGCTATTTTGGCGGGAAATGCTGATATTTTGGCAGGAAATCCTGGGGTTTTTGGCGGGAAATGCTGATATTTTGGCGGGAAATCCCGGGGTTTTTGGCGGGAATTCCCGGTGGGCGTGGCCGGGGCGTGGCCCCACCTTCTCCCAGACGCTCTCGTCGGCCTCGAGGGCGGGGCCCAGGTGGGGATTGACGGCGGCGTTGGACACCAGGATGTCGATGGCGCCGAACTCGGCCAGGGCCTGGCAGGTGAGGGACACGAGTGTCACAGGTGTGTCACAGGTGTGTCACAGGTGTGCCCAGGTGTGTCACAGGTGTGCCCAGGTGTGCCCAGGTGTGTCACAGGTGTGTCACAGGTGTGTCACAGGTGTGCCCAGGTGTGTCACAGGTGTGTCACAGGTGTGCCCAGGTGTGTCACAGGTGTGTCACAGGTGTGTCAAGGTGTGCCCAGGTGTTAAGCCACATCCCTCAGATATAAGCCCCGCCCCCCTCAGATGTAAGCCACACCCCTCAGGTGTAAGCCACACCCACCAGGTGTAAGCCAAGCCCCTCAGGTGTAAGCCACGCCCCTCAGGTGTAAGCCACACCCCTCAGGAGTAAGCCACGCCTCTCAGGTGTAAGCCACACCCATCAGGTGTAAGCCACACTCCTCAGGAGTAAGCCACGCCTCTCAGGTGTAAGCCACACCCATCAGGTGTAAGCCACACTCCTCAGGTGTAAGCCAAACCCACCAGGTGTAAGCCACACCCATCAGGTGTAAGCCACGCCCCTCAGGTGTAAACCACGCCCTTCAGGTATAAACCACACCCCTCAGGTGTATGCCACACCCCTCAGGTGTAAGCCACACCCCTCAGTTGTAAGCCACGCCCCTCCGGTCTAAGCCACGCCTCTCAGGTGTAAGCCACTCCCCCTATGGTGGGTTTACCCACAGGCCACGCCCCCTCAGGTATAACCAACACCCTCCAGGTATAAACCACGCCCCCTACACCACACCCCCTCCAATGCAAACCACGCCCCCTCCGGAACAAGCCCCGCCCCCAGGGCTAAGCCCCGCCCCCGGGGGCGTGCTCACCTGCAGGCCCCGCCCCCTCAGGGATAACCCACACCCTCCAGATAGAAACCACGCCCCCTACACCACACCCCCTCCAATATAAACCACTCCCCCTCCGGCACAAACCACGCCCCCAGGGCCATGCCCTGCCCCCAGGGGCGTGCTCACCTGCAGGCCCCGCCCCCGCAGGGATAACCCACACCCTCCAGGTATAAACCACACCCCCTCTGATAGAAACCATGCCCCCTCCTGTACAAACCACGCCCCCTCTGCTACAAACCACGCCCCATCCGGCACAGGCCCCGCCCCCAGGACCAAGCCCCGCCCCCGGGGGCGTGCTCACCTGCAGGCCCCGCCCCCGCAGCCTCTCCACGGCTCTCTGCACGTTGTGGGCCCGGCGGGAGCTGAGCATCACCCGGGCCCCGGCCACGCCCAGCGCCTCGGCCACGCCCAGCCCGATCCTGGGGACACGCCCCGGGGTCAGCTGAGCTTTGGCCACGCCCCTTTTGATCTCGGGGTCACCCAGGGCTCAGCTGACTGAGGCCACACCCACCCCGATTCTGGGGACACGCCCCGGGGTCAGCTGAGCTTTGGCCACGCCCACCCCAGGGATGTGGAAACGCCCGGGGTAAGTTGGGCTTTGGCCACGCCCACCCCGAGCCTCGGGACACGCCCAGGGGTCAGCTGAGCTTTGGCCACGCCCCTTTTGATCCCAGGGTCACCCAGGGGTCACCTGAGCTTGGCCACGCCCACCCCGAGCCTTGGGACACGCCCGGGGTCACCTGAGCCAGACCACGCCCCTTTTGATCCCGGGGTCACCCAGGGGTCACCTGACATAGGCCACGCCCACACGGATCCTGGTGACACGCCCAGGGTCACCTGACATAGGCCACGCCCACATGGATCCTGGGGACACGCCCAGGGTCACCTGACATAGGCCACGCCCACATGGATCCTGGCGACACGCCCAGGATCACCTGACATAGGCCACACCCACCGGGATCCTGGCGACACGCACAGGGTCACCTGACATAGGCCACGCCCACATGGATCCTGGCGACACGCCCAGGGTCACCTGACATAGGCCACGCCCACATGGATCCTGGCGACACGCCCAGGATCACCTGACATAGGCCACACCCACCGGGATCCTGGCGACACGCACAGGGTCACCTGACATAGGCCACGCCCACATGGATCCTGGCGACACGCCCAGGGTCACCTGACATAGGCCACGCCCACATGGATCCTGGCGACACGCCCAGGATCACCTGACATAGGCCACACCCACCGGGATCCTGGCGACACGCACAGGGTCACCTGACATAGGCCACGCCCACATGGATCCTGGCGACACGCCCAGGGTCACCTGACATAGGCCACGCCCACATGGATCCTGGCGACACGCCCAGGATCACCTGACATAGGCCACACCCACCGGGATCCTGGCGACACGCACAGGGTCACCTGACATAGGCCACGCCCACATGGATCCTGGCGACACGCCCAGGGTCACCTGACATAGGCCACGCCCACATGGATCCTGGCGACACGCCCAGGATCACCTGACATAGGCCACACCCACCGGGATCCTGGCGACACGCACAGGGTCACCTGACATAGGCCACGCCCACATGGATCCTGGCGACACGCCCAGGGTCACCTGACATAGGCCACGCCCACATGGATCCTGGCGACACGCCCAGGATCACCTGACATAGGCCACACCCACCGGGATCCTGGCGACACGCACAGGGTCACCTGACATAGGCCACGCCCACATGGATCCTGGCGACACGCCCAGGATCACCTGACATAGGCCACACCCACCGGGATCCTGGCGACACGCACAGGGTCACCTGACATAGGCCACGCCCACCGGGATCCTGGGGACACGCCCAGGGTCACCTGACATAGGCCACACCCACACGGATCCTGGCGACACGCCCAGGGTCACCTGACATAGGCCACGCCCACCGGGATCCTGGGGACACACCCCGGGGTCAGCTGACACAGGCCACGCCCACCCGGATCCTCTGGTCACCTTGGGGTCACCTGGGCTTTGGCCACGCCCATCCTGATCCTGGGGACACGCCCAGGGTCACCTGACATAGGCCACGCCCACCGGGATCCTGGGGACACGCCCAGGGTCACCTGACATAGGCCACGCCCACCGGGATCCTGGGGAAACGCCCAGGGTCACCTGACATAGGCCACGCCCACCGGGATCCTGGGGACACGCCCAGGGTCACCTGACATAGGCCACACCCACCGGGATCCTGGGGACACGCCCAGGGTCACCTGACATAGGCCACGCCCACCCCGAGCCTCGGGACGCGCCCAGGGTCAGGTGACCTTGGCCACGCCCACCCAGGCAATTTGGGTTATTTTGGGGTTAATTTGCATTAATTAAAGCCAATTTGGGTTAATTTGGGATTAACTTAACTAATTAAAATAAATTTTGTTTAATTTTGGTGATTTGGGGGTTAATTTGCATTAATTAAAGCCAATTTGGGTTAATTTGGGATTAACTTAACTAATTAAAATAAATTTTGTTTAATTTTGGTGATTTGGGGGTTAATTTGCATTAATTAAAGCCAATTTGGGTTAATTTGGGATTAACTTAACTAATTAAAATAAATTTTGTTTAATTTTGGTGATTTGGGGGTTAATTTGCATTAATTAAAGCCAATTTGGGTTAATTTGGGATTAACTTAACTAATTAAAATAAATTTTGTTTAATTTTGGTGATTTGGGGGTTAATTTGCATTAATTAAAGCAAATTTGAGTTAATTTGGGGTTAATTTGCATTAATTAGAGCCAATTTGGGTTAATTGTGGTGATTTTGGGTTTCATTTAATTAATGAAAGAAAGTTTGGGTTCATTTGGGGTTCATTTAATTAATTAAAGCCAATTTGGGTTAATTTTGGTGATTTTGGGGTTAATTTGAGTTAATTAAAAAAATTTGGGTTAATGTGGGGTTAATTTAAGTTAATTAAAGCAAATTTGGGTTAATTTGAGGTTACTTTAATTAATTAAAATAAATTTGGGTTAATTTTGGGGGATTTTGGGTTCAATTTAATTAATTAAAATACATTTGAGTTAATTGTGGTGATTTTGGGGTTAATTGGAATTAATTAAAGCCAATTTGGGTTAATTTGGGCTTAATTAAATTAATTGAAGCCAATTTGGGTTAATTTTGGTGATTTTGGGGTTAATTTGAATTAATTAAAGCAAATTTGGGCTAATTTGGGGTTAATTAAATTAATTACAGCAATTTTGGGTGAATTTTGCTGATTTTGGGGGGCTTCAGACTTTGGATTTTTGTCTTAATCAATTTGAGTTAATTGGAGTTATTTCGAGTTCATTTATGCAAATTTTGGTTAATTTTATGCAAATTTCAGGGGGGTTTTTTAGGTTTTTTCCCCCGTGCCGTTTTTGGGGTGAATTCGGGGATTTTGGGTTAAATTCGGGGGGTTTTGGGTTAAATTCCGGGGGGCTCAGAGATCAACGATTAATTGATTTAATTGGAGTTATTTCGAGTTAATTTTATGCAAATTTCGGTTAATTTCGTGTTAATTTCGGGGGATTTTTTAGGGAAAAAATCTTATTTTTTTCTGTGTGGTTTTTGGGTTGAATTTTGGGGATTTTGGGTTAAATTCCGGGTGGTTCAGAGATCGATGATTAATTAGAGATAACTGGGGCTATTCCGAGTTAATTTATGCAAATTTCGGTTAATTTCATGCTAATTCCGGGGTTATTTTGGGTTTTATTTCCCCGTGCCATTTTTGGGGTGAATTCGGGGGGTTTTGGGTTAAATTCGGGGGGTTTTGGGTTAAATTCCGGGTGGTTCAGAGATCAACGATTAATTGATTTAATTGGAGTTATTTCGAGTTAATTTATGCAAATTTCGGTTAATTTCATGTAAATTTCAGGGGATTTTTTACGGAAAAAATCTTATTTTTTTTCTGTGCAATTTTTGGGGTGAATTTTGGGGATTTTGGGTTAAATTCCGGGGATTTCAGAGATCGATGATTAATTAGAGATAACTGGGGCTATTCCGAGTTAATTTATGCAAATTCCGGTTAATTTCGGGTTAATTCCGGGGTTATTTTGGGGTTTTCCCCCCGTGCGGATTTTGGGGTGAATTCGGGGGGTTTTGGGTTAAATTCGGGGGGTTTTGGTTAAATTCCGGGTGGCTCAGAGATCGATGATTAATTAGAGATAACTGGGGCTATTCCGAGTTAATTTATGCAAATTCCGGTTAATTTCGGGTTAATTCCGGGTTTTTTTTTGGGGTTTTTCCCCCGCGCGGATTTTGGGGTGAATTCGGGGGGTTTTGGGTCACTCACCCGGGGTTTTGGGTTAAATTCCGGGTGGTTCAGAGATCAACGATTAATTGATTTAATTGGAGTTATTTCGAGTTAATTTATGCAAATTTCGGTTAATTTCATGTAAATTTCAGGGGATTTTTTACGGAAAAAATCTTATTTTTTTTCTGTGCAATTTTTGGGGTGAATTTTGGGGATTTTGGGTTAAATTCCGGGGATTTCAGAGATCGATGATTAATTAGAGATAACTGGGGCTATTCCGAGTTAATTTATGCAAATTCCGGTTAATTTCGGGTTAATTCCGGGGTTATTTTGGGGTTTTCCCCCCGTGCGGATTTTGGGGTGAATTCGGGGGGTTTTGGGTTAAATTCGGGGGGTTTTGGGTTAAATTCCGGGTGGTTCAGAGATCAACGATTAATTGATTTAATTGGAGTTATTCCGAGTTAATTTTATGCAAATTTCGGTTAATTTCGTGTTAATTTCGGGGGATTTTTTAGGGAAAAAATCTTATTTTTTTCTGTGTGGTTTTTGGGGTGAATTTTGGGGATTTTGGGTTAAATTCCGGGTGGTTCAGAGATTGATGATTAATTAGAGATAACTGGGGCTATTCCGAGTTAATTTATGCAAATTCTGGTTAATTTCATGCTAATTTCAGGGTGGTTTTTTAGGTTTTTCCCCCGCGCGGATTTTGGGGTGAATTCGGGGGGTTTTGGGTCACTCACCCGTCCGTGCCCGCTGTCACCAGCGCCACTTTGCCCTCCAGGGCTCGCGGGGACCCCCCCGAGCTCAGCGGGGCCCCCCCGAAAACGGCCCGGGCCCCCCCGGGCAGCCCCGCGCGCCACATCCCGACTGGGACAGACTGGGACAGACTGGGACAAACTGGGACAGACTGGGACAAACTGGGATGGACTGGGATAAACTGGGACAAACTGGGAGGGACTGGGAGCGGGGCAAGGGGGACTGGGAGGGACTGGGAGGGAACTGGGAGGGGTTTTGGCGTCACTGGGACAAACTGGGACAAACTGGGAGGGATTTAAAGGTTACTGGGAGGGACTGGGAGACGATTTGAGGTTACTGGGATGAACTGGGACAAACTGGGAGGGGATTTGGGGTAACTGGGATGAACTGGGATGAACTGGGATGGGATTTGGGGTAACTGGGATGAACTGGGATGAACTGGGATAAACTGGGAGGGGTTTAGGGGTCACTGGGATGGACTGGGATGAACTGGGAGGGGATTTGGGGTCACTGGGATGAACTGGGATGAACTGGGATGGACTGGGATGGGATTTGGGGTTACTGGGATGAACTGGGATGAACTGGGATGAACTGGGAGGGGTTTAGGGGTCACTGGGATGAACTGGGATGAACTGGGATGAACTGGGAGGGGATTTGGGGTTACTGGGATGAACTGGGAGGGACTGGGAATGGGTTTGAGGTTACTGGGATGAACTGGGATAAACTGGGATGGGAGCTGGGATGAACTGGGATGAACTGGGAGGGGATTTGGGGTTACTGGGATGAACTGGGATGAACTGGGATGAACTGGGATGGACTGGGAGGGGATTTGGGGTTACTGGGATGAACTGGGATGAACTGGGATGAACTGGGATGAACTGGGAGGGACTGGGATGGGATTTGGGGTTACTGGGATGAACTGGGATGGACTGGGATGAACTGGGATGGACTGGGAGGGGATTTGGGGTCACTGGGATGAACTGGGATGGGCCTCGCTGTCCCCCCTTTTTATTTAAACCATTAAAATTGACTGAAAAAAGGGGATTTTACCTCAAATTTCCCGCCCCGGTGCTGGATTTTGGGGAGATTTATAGGATTTAGGCGATCCTCAAATCCTCGTGGGTGAAAAGTTGAATTTTTGGGTTGAAATCCTCAGAATTTGCCTCAAAATCCGCTCAAACCTCACCAAAATTCCAGGTTTTGCACACAAATCACCTAAAACCGCTCAAAACCTGGAGATTTTGCCTCAAATTTCCTCACAAAGCGCATGAAAATGTGATTTTTGACAAAAATCTCCTCACAAAGTGACAAAAATTTTGATTTTTTTGCCTCACCTCAGCCAAAAATTCCCATTTTCACCCCAAATCCCCTCAGAAAAACCCCAGTTGTGGGGATTTTGCCTTAAATTCCTCAGGAAACCACAAAAAAAGGGAGATTTTACCTCAAATCTCCTCCAAGTTTATTCGGAATTAAACTTTTTTACCTCAGACCCTTCTCCAAATCCCCAAACCCTGCGAGTTTTACCTCATATCTCCTCAGAAATCCCTCAAAAAAACCATTTTTACCCCAAATCCCCTCACAAAATGCCCCTAAATCTCATTTTCTGCCTCAAAACCCTCACAAAATTATTTTTTTACCTCAAATCTCCTCGGGCCTTTCCTCAAACTGCTCCAAACCCGTGAAATTTCACCCCAAAATCCCTCACAAAATCCTCCCCAAAATCCCTTTTTTTCCACCTCAAAACCGCTGTTTTTTCCCCCAAACCCTTCTCCGCCAATTCGTAGCATAAATTAATTTCATTCCCGCCTTCAAATTTAACGGAAATTCGTATTTTTCCCCTCTTTTTAAGGCTTTAATTCCCATTTAATTCCATTCCCCAAGTCATGCCCTCAATCAAAATGGCGCCGGCGCCTTCCCGCCCTTTTTGGTTCCCGCCCTGCCCTCAACCAAAATGGCGACCGAGCCCTCACGCCTCCCTTTAACCCACTCTGCGCAGGCGCAGCCGCCATTTCATGCATTTGCTTCGCGCTGCCCTTAACAAAGATGGCGCCCGCGCTGCGTCACCGCCGCCATTTTGTGAGCGCCGCCTCCCTCAGGCGCCAGAATCCAAGATGGCGCTAGCCAGCGTCCTCCGTTCGGAGCTCCCGGATTTCTCCAAATCTTTCCCAAAATCTTTTTCCAAAAGTTTTCCCGATGATTCCGAGGAGATCCCCGAAATCCTGCGGGATGCCTCGGGCCCTCCGCGGGTTCTGGCGGCTCCGCCCTGGGGCGTTGAGGCAGAGCCGGAGGGGCTCGGGCTGCAGATTCTTCACGGCACCACCACTCTGGCTTTTAAGGTGAGGGGGAAATCTCTTCAAAATTCACTTTTAAAGCCCAAAATCGCCGCTGGGGAGGGTGAAATCCCGGTTTTGACCCAAAAAAACGCGGCTGGGGAGGGTAAAATGCTCTTTTGGATCCCAAAAATCCCGTCCGGGACTCAAAAATCGCGTGTGGGCGCCTTAAAAATTCAGTTTTGGAGCCAAAAAATGTTGTCTGGGACCCAAAAAAAATCCGTTTTGGACCCAAACGTTGCTTCTGGGACTGAAAAATTTCAGTTCTGGACCAAAAAAAATTCCATTTTGGACCCAAAATTCCTCTGTGGGACCCAAAAATTTCAATTTTGGACCAAAAATTGCCTCTGGGACTCAAAAAAAATTCACTTTTGGACCAAAAAAATTCAATTGTGATCGCAAAAAATTCCAATTTGGACCCAAAATTCCTGTCTGGGAGCTTCAAAATTCCATTTTGGACCAAAAAAATTCCATCTGGGACCCAAAAATTTCAATTTTGGCACCAAAATTTTCGGGTTTGGACCCAAAATTTGTGTCTGCTAAGATCAAAATTCTATTTTTTGGATGTAAAAATCGCGGCTGGGGAGAAAAAATTGCGATTTTATGGGAGAAAAAAATTGAGAAAATTTGAGAAAAAATGGGTTTTAGAAAATGATGGAAATTATGAGGAAAAATGAAGGGAAAGTGGGGAAAACTGGAGGAAAAATGGGATTTTAGGGGTAGAAAATGGGAGAAAAATGAGAAATGCAGGGAGAGAAGATGGGGGAAATTTGAGGGGAAAAATTGGCTAAAAATTGTGATTTTAGGGGAGAAAATTTGGGAAGATTTGAGAAAAAATGGGCAATTTTTGGGAAAAAAAATTGAAAAAAAGGGGATTTTAGGGGAGAAAATGGGAGAAAAATGGGGATTTTATGGAGGAAAAATTGAGGAAAATGGGGGAAAAATAGGGGAAAAATTGGGAAGAAATCGGGAAAAAATGGAGAAAAGTTGAGGAAAAAAAATCGGTTTTTAGGAGAGAAAACTTGGTAAAAATTGGGAATTTTAGGGCTACAAAATGGTGGAAAAATTGAGAAAAAAAATCTGATTTTAGGGATAAAAAATGGTGGAAAAATTGAGAAAAAAGTGATTTTAAGGAAACAAAATGACGGAAAATAGGGAAAAAATACGACAAAAATTTGAATTTTCTCACTGTTTTTTGCCCAAATCTCCCCATTTTCT